AGAGAGAGGAGGGAGAGGGGGGAGAGGGGGGAGAGGAGAGAGAGAGAGAGAGAGAGAGAGAGAGAGAGAGAGAGAGAGAGAGAGGGCTTTCATAACATCACTGTATCAATAACAAACAAACAGCATCTTCTGTGTGTCACTCACCCTCTTTGGATTTCTTCTTACGCACCAGGGTTCCTCCTAATTTACCGAGGAAAGAAGATTCCTCCTTCTTCAGTTTGGCGGACTGAGGGGTCGCAGTCCCAGACATCTTCTTCTTCTTCTTCCAGGGGGACTCTGTCAGTGTGTGTGTGTGTGTGTGTGTGATGTCAGTCCTCTTCTCTGTGATGCCTTCAGGATCCGATCACAGTGAACACACAGAGCAGACAGGCTGAGGAGAGCAGCGCTGCTCAATGACTCACATGTTCAATTCATCTGCTTCTTTCCCTGGCGGATCACACCACAGCGCCACCTCACGGCAGGAAGAGGAACATCACTGACAAGGTTGAACATATAAAAGTGGAGGGCACTCAGCAGCGTACATCCTGCAGGCTACTTATGAGACAGATTTATTTAGATCTGCAGCAAATTGCACACACTCACACATCAGCCCACTAAACATCAAGATCCAGGCATGATTATCTCAGAAATAGACAGAAATGATCGTCTGCACCAGAATGCACTGGGTTGTTCCTCCGGTCGAGCCCCAGCCCTCCACAAAATGTCATGAAAATCAGTTGAGTACTTTGATCATCATCCTGCCAACTATCAAACAGATGAAAACATAACTTCTTGGCATGTAGGTAATAAAAACTGTACTTGTATTTGTTTAAAAGCCAAGTATATTTACTCAGTTACAAGGTTGAACTACGTGTGGTATTTCCATTTTATGTTACTTTAACCTTCTGCTCCACTATATTTCAATTGGAAATACTGTAGTTTTGTAGATATAGATTATATACATAAGTGATCAGTTTACAGAGCATATTCATGTGTTGTAAAGTCTTTTAAATCACTCATTTCACTTTTGAGAAAAAAAAGTATTGAAATCGATTTCCAAAGGTCTTCATATATTTATTTTTCCAGTGGGCAGTAATATCACTTATCAACATTTTCTGTATGTGGTTTTAGCTAAACCCATCCAGGAAATCCCCCTCTGTTGTTTGTTTATTCATTGTGCAGCGTGTGTAAACCCACATGGAATTATTTTTACATCCTCATATTTTTATCAAAAACAGTTTAGCAGCTAAGTACCAGTCCTGAGTCTGTTACATAAAGTGGAGGAGATCAGGTAAAGACGTGCACAGTAGACGATAGAATGAATTACTTATTTTTCACCTGGCTTATCCATTCCATTCATTTACCTATTTTATGCTGCTTAAGCAAATGATAATGTAATGAGAACATTAGAGATCATTATTCTATAATTCTGTCCATGGATTAATGGAGCTGGTAAATAATCAGTCTGTTTTTAATTTCAGGAATCTGTGATCAAATATATTCACAAACACATTAGAGATGGAGTTGCAGATAGGAAAAAAGAATCACCTTGTACTTTTCATCTCATCAGAATTCATCAGTGTTTGTCCAATTTTCTCAAATGTTACTAGAAAACATTTGAGAGCTTTCAAACTGGGTTGTTGTCATGTTTGTAATGCAGGTATCAAAAGCCCTCTCAGTATATGAATTATATCAATCATGGGATTCACAATGTTTTCATTAATTAAAAAGAAGAGCAGGATCAGCTTTGGTCCTCAGCATCTCTTCCTTTGTCTTGAGCTATTTTTTGGAAACAGAAACTCAAGTTAATACAGAACAGGTAACTTTAAAAGCTCAGTGTGTTTCATATTTATGATGTTGCTGTGGACTCGCCTGTGTTCTGCAGGAGTTTCCACTCTGCCTTCAGCCTGTCTCTCAGTTTCTCCACAGACTCCACATCCTCTGATAGAGGGGCCAGGAGTGGCCCTAAAGAGGGAGCAGGGTCCCCGAGGAGGGAGGAGACAGTGGGTCCGACACATTCCTTCTCATTGTCCTAGAAGAAGAACAAAATACATCACCCTGCGGCTTAAACTAACCCAGAAATAAATCCAGAGATAACAACGTACACTTCAACACCAGTGAAGAATGAGTTGGCATTTGCAAGACTTTTATGAACCCGTGTTCTTACCTGCATGAGCACCAGTGTGTGTCCTTGTGCGAGGCCCTGCAGCAGACCTGTTAGTTGTTGCCACGCGCTGTCACACAGTCCGCTGTCGGACATCCGAACCAACACAACCAGACTGGGGTCGTACTCGTAACCCAAAGGCAGGAGGAGACCCATCACAACCTGTATGAATCCTGATACATCACTGAAGCCCTGGAGGACGACAAATACAAGTGGGATGTTTTTCCATTAGCAATTTAAAAAAAAAACATTCTGTCACACTGAGTGTGGATACCTGCTCGAGCAGACAGGTTCAGTCAAACATTTTACATGAGTTTTTTTTTAATTACACCGCACATGTCTGTAATTAGGGAAGAAAAGTAATAATAATGTCTGTTAGAGACAGATTAACAAAAACTCAGTGCTGCTTACATTAAATGCATTGCAGAAAAAAATACTGAATTAGCATTCAGTGCAGAAGTACACACATACAGAAAATATGGAGTGACAAATCACAATACACAGTAGTACACAGTACAATACCTTCTTCAGATGCACAGGAATGTAATATCTGCTTTTACTTTCCTCTGACTCCTTGTTGCTGAATTGCAACACAAGTGTTTTCCTACAGACAGAAAAAAAATGTTGTTTAAATGTTGTTTGTGCTTTTGCAACATCATTTACCAAAAGAGGCAAAAGATTGATCACAAATAATATTTACCCATCTTCAGTGACTTGACTCGGAACGTTCCAATCTCCGACACACACAACCAAAACCCTGCAGCAAGAGAAAACAGAATCAAGTCAGAATACATTTTGGCAATAAAATCTCATTTAATAAAAAAACTCTCAGCATTTCTAAGACAGAATCTCTTTTAAAACACAGTCATTGTATGCACAGTTAAGATCCACATGTTTATACCGGTTCCTGAGTGCAGATGCAGCATGCTGGATAACACACATCGTTGCCATGGAGATTTCAGGGACCAGCGCCAGGCCACTGCAGATCTGAGAAGCAGTAATTAAATATAAATGGTGCCTGCAGCTCATGTACGCAGGTCAGCACAGCAAACAATGTATTTACAAACAGATCACATCACATCATTCAAAGAGACAAACCATTATCAGGACTTTACCTCATTCTTCTCCATTCTTTCTACCAGGTTAATAAGTCTGGAGAGGGTCGAGAGAGCATCTCCGTCATCTGCTTCTTTTAGGAAATTCTCCCTTATTGAGGCAAAACAACCAAGTGAATAACAAGAAATACATTTTAACAACTACAAGTCATGTTGACTACAGAGGCTCAGGAACAACCGCAGCTCCGTACTTGAGTTTGTTGACTATAAATGGGTCGAGATCCTCTGATAGAGTGAAGGGATGACATCTGTCTGGGCAGGCGACAGCATCAGGGAGAACTACAGCAGCACGAACAGCAGGAGCGAAGCGTTTGACAGGCTCCGGCCACTCGGTCTCGTCATCACTATACTCGTCTTCGTCTGCCAGTTTTAAGTGCTTGGTGCTGATGTCAGAGGTGGGCAGATCAGCTGGAGGAAAGAGGGATGCATGTTAGACGTCATCAGTCATGTCACCAAACTACAGCATAAAAAGTACAACTAATCATTACGCATTAACGTCCCCAAGAAAGTCATCCTACCAAAAAATGGAGACATTTCACATATCACTATGGACCTCTTTATAGAAACCATGGGAAAACTAACTGCAGCTGTTAACCACATAAAAAACTGTATGAAAAACACAACAATGACATAACACAACTCTCCTCTTACACCCTCTCTCTTTTTTCTTTGTTATAAAATCAAGACTCACAAGAACTGGACAGACTTCCACAAACTTGGTGAATAGATGTGGTAGTGGTCACGAAAATGTATCGTGGATCTGTGATATCATGGATTTTCCACTTTTTGTGACATTGTGAGATAGGGGGTTATATTATAGAGGCGTAGTTCAACATTTAATTTTATTTCTCAGTAAATAATTCATGGATCTTGATGAAAAACAATCAGGCATTTTTATGGAACTTATTTATGAATGTGTTTAATTTGGAGTAGATCCAAATAAAAATCTAGTGAATTAAAAAGTGGTTTCATAAGGAGACTGTTGGTCAATGTATGCACTCTACTGAGTGACATTGTAATTAGCGTTATAATAACGAAGTTTATCGTTTTATCGCTGAGAGCAAACAAAGCCTGCTCAGCGAAGTCGCGACTCTTCTCAGTTTTGGCACCTCAGTGGTGGAACAAACTCCTGACCAATGTCAGGACAGCGGAATCGCTCCCCATCTTCCGCAGAAGACTCAAGACTCATTTGTTCAGACTTCACCTCGACCCTGCATAGCATGACTCACCACATATTTCTACATACTTTTTTTTTCTAGATTCATGAGATCACTGTGACCTTTGACCACTGAAACATAATCACTTTATCTTTGAGTTCAAGTGACAACTGATCAAAAGTTGAAGACATTCCCTCCAGCAGTCTTAAGACATCACATTCAAGAGGCCATGTTTTTTGAGGCCACTCTGACCTTTGACAACTGGAAGTTAATCAGTGCATCAAATTGTACCACATGTAATAAATGTCCCTCTGGGCAGTCCTAATATCACATTCACAGGGACATGAATCACGGTGACTTTGACCTTTGCAAGCAACAAAATCTAATCAGTTCATCTTTGAGTCCAAGTGAATGTTTGTACCAAATTTGAAGACATTCCCTCAAGCTGATCTTCAGATAGCATGTTAAAAAAAAACATAAACATACTTTGTGAAGCCACTGTGATCTTGACCTTTGACCTTTAGCTTCCAAGATCAATTGAGTTCATCCTTGAGTCCAAGTGAATATTTGTACAAAAGGAAATTCCCTCAAGGCATTATTGAGATACTGCATTCATGGGAATGAGACGGACGGACAACCTGAAATCATAATGCCTTTGCCACCTGCTGTCCACAAAAAGCCCGACACAGCCTCAAGCATCACTTGAATCTTCCAGGGCTGAAGACTACATGTAAAAAAATGTTGAGGTGTGGTGTCAGAAAGCAATGAATTGAAATGAGTTCACCAGAAGTCGATGGCTGCTCCTCATCTCTGCTTCAGGCCACAACTCAAACTCACATTATTAGAATTGCATTGTTGGTAACAGAGGTACTCTGGTTCTGCTGCACTGTTTTGATCCCTTTGAAAAAGTTACAGTGTAACTATGACACATGTTATAAAATAGCCACTTGAAGTTGGTGAAGCACTGTAGCTCTTAAATAATGATGTGGAAGTTATACCTGCATGTTTGAGGCAGGACCAGTACTGCCTGTGAGCCGAACGGACACAGTGAAGGGACTCGAGTGCACTGAAAAGAGAAAAATAACTTTGCTACTGTTGTAAAACACACACAAGATAATGTTTGACCTCTAAATTCGACTGACAGACAGAAAATACCTTCTACAGGGACCTTCGAGCTTCACGGGTCGAGGTGCAGGATCTCCGAGCAGCGTTTGAACAGTTTGACACACAGACTGGGCGAGGGAAGTCAAGTTGTAGCCTCCCTGGAAAACAATTCTTTTGTTAAGCACACAAGTTACATATGTAGCAGTACGAAACATCATGTGAATATGTACCAACAGATTACACGCACTGTAATTAAGTGCTGTTTGGATACAGTGCATGCGTTCATCTTAAGAATGTTGTGTGTAGCCCGACATAAACAAACTGACCTCCAGCACAGCACACAACTTGCCTCCAGCGAGGTTCATGAGAAGGTGAGTGAGGTGGGCAAAGATGTCCGGGGTGGCACACATTTCCCCCTGAAAATAAAGACAGTCACTGAATTCAGTTCATCACATCACAGTGGTAGTAAAACACGAGACACTGTTTTACAAAACACTACATTGGTGATAAGACACCAGTGCAAAGGTGCACAGAATGCCTCATAAATTCATCCACTATCTGTATCCTGTAAGGGTCATGAGCGGGGATGCTGGATTGGGTACAGCCCAGGCAGCTTGCCAGCATATCACAAGGCAAACATGCAGACAAACTTTCATTTTCACACCTACAGTTAATCTGGACTGTGAGAGGAAGCCGGAGTACCTGCGAAAAAACCAATAGGGAGACGATGCAAACTCCGAGGCTGAGGCCAAATTTGGATTTTAACAAAGTACATTCTTAGGTTCCTGGAGAAATTCCACATACACATAAAAAAAGGTTTTAAGAATAGTCATTTATATTCAGTACCTCTGGGTCACCAATGGCTGAGTCGAAGCCGGCACACACCAACACCAAGTCTGGGCAAAACTGTGACAAAGAAAAATACACTCAGATAAACAAAACACTTCTAACATGTTAGACTGTTCATCTGTTAACAAAGTGTGAATCCTTCGTCTCACCTCGTATGCAACCGGCAAGAGGAGATGACAGAAGACTGAAAGATAGTCACTATTCTGCATTTCCACCTGAAAATAATATTATGGGATCTGTTATAAAATAAGTATGCATGTAAACCATCAGTGCTAAAAGGACA